TCAACCCAATACAGCCACACCTCTAGATCAACCCAATACAGCCACACCTCTACATCAACCCAATACAGCCACACCTCTAGATCAACCCAATACAGCCACACCTCTACGTCAACCCAATACAGCCACACCTCTAGATCAACCCAATACAGCCACACCTCTACGTCAACCCAATACAGCTGCCACACCACAAAACAGTTACGAAAATATAATTCATGCTATGAGGATGATAAGCAGCTCAAGCCCTGTCGCAGAGTCTGCTGACATTGATGATGTCATAAAGGAAGCTATAGAATACTGTAAGATTCACGATCTGCACAACAGTCCCGTTGAGGTATTGCGGCACATTCAAAGTGTTGTTGTCCAGGGAAGGTCCTTGGACATGCAAAATCTCCTCATTCCACCTACTGGAAGATCTATTTCGAACCAAATTTTCATAGACAGGRGAAATGTRCTCGAAACTGGCTTGAGTGAGGTCAAGTGCATTGAAAACAAGCATTTGACTTTGGAGGTTGTGTTCTATGGGGAGGTGAGTGTATTAAAGATTATTACACTGTAAATGATAATACTATTGTAGCCCCCATCTGTTATCAACAAAAAGGAGATAAAATGCTTGATTGTTGCTTATTATCATACTACAGTAACAGCATTAAAGATATGCATGAAGTTGGGGATAACACATTTTCATTTATATGTTACATAAGAGTCAACCTATTTCATCTAAGTAATGAATCTTGGCACTTTCAGTAGTAGTCATATAATAATAGTTTCTCATCATTATTTCGTGATAACATGTACCATTCATCATTCTCATATAAAAATTGTTTTTCCAGATCACAGTTGAAACATAGTTTGTGGAAAGCCAGACGCAATTATAGTAAAGGAATCCTGCATCATATCTACTACTTAGACAATATGTCCTGAGATTCAATGGAAAGGCTTAATTTTTTTTCATTTTTTTTATAAATGAGGATATTGTTATTATTTTCAAAGCTTGCAGAAGATCATGGGGGGCCGAGAAGAGAATTTTTCTCAATTGTATTACGAGAAATCTTTGACTTCTACTTTAAACACGGTTTAAAARAGCACATGGCTGATGACTACCACACAATAGGAGTTATCATGGGTAAGCATTAGAATCAATATACTTCAAGTACGTATACACAATRTGCAATAACAATCCTTAAATCAAATTAATAATTATATGAGCGATGTCATTGTAAAAGGTACCTAAGCTGCTAAGGTCCCT